TCCAGTCCCAAAAACCTCCAAGGATGGAGATTGTGGCAGCTCCAGGACCAGTCCAGTCCCAAAAACCTCCAAGGATGGAGATTGTGGCAGCTCCAGGATCAGCTCATATCAAAAACCTCCAAGGGTAGAGATTGGGTCAACTCTGAGACCAACCCAGTTCCAAAAACCTCCAAGGACGGAAAATGCACCTTCTGGGAACTGACCCTAAACCTGCTTTGTTGGGGTTCCCCAGTGCAAAGGGATCCAGCTCCAGCATCACTTGAGGGTCCCAAAAATGTGGCAAAACTTCCCCATGTCTCCGGTCGGTGGTGGTGGGAGACGTGGTGGGTCTGGGGAGGGACCACCCCCGAATCCCAGCTCTGGAATCATCGTGTCCCACCCCCCTCCACCTCCCAGGTCCCCACCTCGGCCCCTTACCCTGGCCATGGGCATCTTGTTGGCCTCCACGTAGAAGTGGGGGGTCCGCACCTCGTACAGGGCTCCATAGTCCAGCTCCTGCCGGGAGAAATTCCCGAGGGGGTCACCAGGGTGTGGGAAGGGGCTACAGGGGCGTGTGGTTGGATACAAGGGGGTTGGGGAAGGACCTAAAATCCCTTTGCAACTCACGGAATGAATCGAGTTGGAAAAGACCCCTGAGATCATTGGGAGACCCAAGCCCACCTTGGCACCCAGAACGTGGCACCGAGTGCCAAGTCCAGGCTCTGCTTCAACACCCCCAGGGACAGGGACTGCACCCCCTCCCTGGGCAGTCCATTCCAAGGTCTGATCCCTCTCCCTGGAAAGAACTTCTTCCCCATGTCCAACCTAAACTTGTTGGAAGGGAGTTACGGGGGGTGAGCGGAACGAGCTTGGTCGGTTCTGCTTGGGCTTGTCCCGGAATTCTGGAGGGTGGTGGAGCCGGGCAAAAGGGCACTGAACCTTCCCTCCAGGACCCCCCCTTGCCGGGAGCACTCACGGTGGTGCCCATCTTCTCCAGAGTCTCCTCGTTGATGGGGTAGCGCAGCTTCATCTTGCGGTACAGCGGGTGCTTCTCGTAGTAGCTGATGAGGTCCACCAGGCTCTCGAACTCGGCCGAGCTGCCCAGCATGAAGAGCCTCCCCTCCTGCTGGATCCGGCAGTGCTTGATCTTCCCCTCCGCCCTGGAGCCGGGACACGCGGCGAGGGACGTGTGAGGAGGGCCGGATCCCGGCTCCACCGCGGGAACCACCCCGAGGACGTCCCCACGGGGAGGGCTTTGCATGTCCTGAGGTCTCAACAGACCCAAGTCGAGCCCGGGAGGCCTGGTGGTGGCCACACTCACCGGAAGGAGATGGCGTAGGAGTTGGGCTCGCCGCGCTTGCGCACCAGGAAGGCTCCGTCGCGCGGCACCCGCATCAGCATGTGCTCGGCCTGCAGGCGCGTCAGGCTGGCGTGGTACCACCTGGCCGGGCAGAAGGCGGGCACGGGGGGGCTGCCACCAGCGTCCCCGCGCCCCGGAGGGCGCCCGGTGCCAGGGGGGTGGGGGGGATCACTCCTCACTCTTTGCTCTCGTGGGCGTTGGGCTGCGGGACGGGGTCGGTGAGGCGCATCTCGAACTCGTTGCAGCGCAGCGGCACCTCCCGGTAGTGGCAGATGAGGCTGTAGAGGCTGTCGAAGACCAGGTTGTCCGTCAGGTAGAACTTGGTGGCCCCGGCCTCCTGCCGCGAGTGGATCCGGCAGTGCTGCACCCGGCTGGACCTCCTGGCGCGGCGGGGGGAGAAAGGCAGGTCAAAAAAAGGCGGCGTTTCCCCCCTGGAAAAGCCATTCCGGCCACCAAACCGGGCGTTGACCGGAAGGTTATCCAGGCGGGATGGCCAGAGCGGCTCAGGAATGGCGGGATCCCACCTCTCCGGAGCTCCTACCAGAAGGAGAGGGTGTAGTCGCCCACGAAGGTCTCGCTCTCGCGCACCAGGAAGGTGCCGTCCTTGCCGCCCGTCTCGGTGCAATACTCGTGCAGCAGCTTCTCCGCGATCTGCCGCCCGTCCCGGCCCCCGCCCAGCTTCCCGTGGAACCACTTCTCCGTGAAGTGCAGCTCGTTGTTGTTGAACTCCTGCGGGGTCACCCCCCCCAAAAGAGGTTTTGTGCCACCCTCTGCCTCCCTGCCCCCCCCGTGGAGTTCTCCCCTCGCCCCTCACGCACCTCCTTCTGCTCCACCTCCTCCTCGTCCTCGTTGAACTGGTAGCGGGAGGTCTCTTCCGAGTAGTAGATCTTGTTGCTTGTCAGGACGAAATAATGAGGGCTCCAGGTCTGGGGAAGGAGGAAGAGCGTTCCCGGGGTGAGGAGAAGGATCACGTGGAAGGATGGAGCTTTGACACGGGGTCTCTGCTCCCTCCCGCTCCCCAGGTCTAGGAGAGCCCATTCCATGCCCATCCCAAACCCAGGGGTCTGACAGGCCCCACTCAGCTCCTCCCTTACGTGGTCGATGGGGTCTTCGAGGTAGAGGATCCCGTTCTTGATGGAGTTGCTGATGTCGTTCTCCGAGTAGCTGGCGGTGGACACCTCCTCGTACAGGTTCCCTTCGACCAGCTTCTTGTGCTGGGGAGCGCCCAGGGGGTGGGACACGGCGGCCGCGGGCACACCGAGCTCCCAACCCTCCAGATCAAACTCCCACAGGTCCCTTCCCACCACCCCCCACCCCGTTCCCCTCGGCCACCTCTCGGTGTAGAACATCGGAGAGGTGTCTGGAGGGATATCACGGAGGGATATCACTCTTGAATCCCAAGATTTGGGAGAATCCCCACCCCTCCCACCCCATCCCTCCTGCCAAGCGGGATTTCGGGGGCGCACCTTGATCAGGATCTTCTTCTTGAGCTGGGTGGGCGAGGGCAGCTCGTCGGCGTTGATGTCCACGGGCTTGGTGAGGAGCATGTCCCCGAAGACCTTCTTGAAGTGGGAGGCCATGTTCCGCTGCTGCACGATGCTGCAGTGGTCCTCGATGGACAGGATGATGGGGAACCTGCAGGAGGAGGGCGGGAATGGTGGGAATGGTGGGAATGGTGGGAATGGTGGCGCTGCCGGGATTTGGGAGCCGTGGGAGGAGCCGGGGCTTACTCGGAGGTGACGAAGGCGTGTTCCTTGATGGTGTGCAGCACGTCCAGGAACTTGATCTTGGAGGTGAGCGTGTGGCCGTGGTAGATGATGGGGAGATCATCCGGGCCGTCCCAGCAGTCCACTGGGTGGGAAGACATCCCAGTTAACACCCCGGCACTGGGGAGCAGGGTTGGGGTCCCCCAAAGGACATGGAAGACTCCCCGCTCTGGTGCCGCTCTGGTGCCGTGGGATGGGAGCAGGAGGTGGTCAGGGATGTGACAGGAGGTGCTGGGGGTGGTTCCAGCATCCCTGGGAGGTGCTGGGGGGGTTCCAGCATCCCTGGGAAGCGCTGGGGTGGAATTCCAGCATCCCTGGGAGGTACTGGGGTGGTTCCAGCATCCCTGGGAAGCGCTGGGGTGGAATTCCAGCATCCCTGTGAGGAACTGGAGTGGTTCCAGCATCCCTGGGAAGCTGGGGTGGAATTCCAGCATCCCTGGGAGGCGCTGGGGTGGAATTCCAGCATCCCCGTGAGGTGCTGTGGGGGTTCCAGCATCCCTGAGAAGTGCTGGGGTGGAATTCCAGCATCCCTGTGAGGTGCTGGGGGTTTCCAGCCTCCCTGTGAGGAACTGGAGTGGTTCCAGCATCCCTGGGAAGTGCTGGGGTGGAATTCCAGCATCCCTGTGAGGTGCTGGGGAGAATCCAGCATTCCTGGGAAGTGCTGGGGTGGAATTCCAGCATCCCTGTGACGTGCTGGGGTGGAATTCCAGCATCCCTGTGAGGTGCTGGGGGGGCTCCAGGATTCCTGGGAAGCACTGGGGGGGGAATTCCAGCATCCCTGGGAGGTGCTGGGGTGGAATTCCAGCATCCCTGGGAAGTGCTGGGGACACTCACACTCGATGCAGCGGCAGCCCATCCGCAGGCACCGTGCGTACGCTTCCAGGGAGGACTCGCTGGAGAACTGATCCCCTGTCAGGTACCTGAGGACAGACAGGGAGCAGTTGGGGGGGGTGGGACACTCCTGGATGTCACAGAGTCAATCATAGAATCATAGAATCAGCTGGTTTGGAAAGCACCTCCGAGATCATCAAGTCCAACCCTTGATCCAACCCCGCCGTGGTTCCCAGCCCATGGCACTGAGGCCACATCCAGTCTCACCTTAAACACCTCCAGGGATGGTGACTCCATCCCCTCCCTGGGCAGCCCATTCCAATGGTTAATCCCTCTCTCTGGAAAGAATTCCTTCCCAATATCCAACCTAAACCTCCCCTGGCACAGCTGCAGACCGAGCCCTTGTGTCCTACTGCTGGTTCTTGGGAGAAGAGACCGACCCCCCCTTGGCTCCCCCCTCCTGTCAGGGAGTTGCAGAAAGTGAGGAGGTCTCCCCTGAGCCTCCTCCTCTCCAGGCTGAGCTCCCACAGATCCCTCAGCCTCTCCTCATGGGAATTGGGCTCCAGACCCTTCCCCAGCCTCGTTGCTCTTCTCTCCACCTGCTCCAGCCCCTCCATGGCCTTCCTGAGCTGAGGGCCCAGAGCTGGACACAGCACTGGAGGTGAGGACTCACAGGGGAAGAATCCCTTCCCTGCTCCTGCTGCCACACTGATCCTAATCCAGGCCAGGATCCATTGGCCTTCTTGGCCACCTGGGCACACTCTGGCTCATGTTCAGCTTCCTGTCAATCCAAACTCCCAGGTCCCCTGAGGAAATCCCAGCCCGTCCTCACGTGTTGTGGGAGGAGGAGATCCAGTACTGGGACAGGGGGTGGTTCATCTCCTCGGGCACCACGCGCTCGTACTTGGCGTCCATCACCATGTTTTCCTTGGAGAAGAGGTACGTGAGGAACTGGGAAAGCAGGGGGTGGAAAGCAGAGAGGTCAGAGCCTGGCAGGGCCACGGAGACACCTTTGGGTGGGTTCTGGGTGGGGGGCACCCACCTCATCCAGCTGGAAGGAGGGATCCGACGCCTCGCCGGAGCTCTCCCGGAGGTAGGTGCACATGTATTCCCGCACCATGCCCACGTCGCTGGCCCAGGATTCCTGGGAGACAGATGTGGATGTTGTTACAGGGCCGGAGCATCCCATGGGAGGCCCCCGAGGCCACGGGGGTCTGAAAGAAATCCCACCTTCTGGTCGTGCAGCAGGAACTTCTGGAAGTCATAGAGGGAGACCTGGCACAGCTCGGGGCGGTCCACGTTCCTGGGACACGGATCAGCCACCAGTGAGAAGCGGGAGAAGGAGTTGGGATGGATCCCATGGGAGAGTCAAGGCTGCCAGGGCCCACCTGCAGCTCAGCTCCCCTATTCCTGCCCCATTCCCACCAGGAGTGTGCAGCGTTGTCCGAGGATACGGGGAGGGCAGGGCGGAATGTCCCTACATCCCTGGCAACCTCATCCACTTCCGTCCATCCTTGTTCCTATCCCTGCTCCCATCTTCGCTCCCCTCATTCCCACTCCCACCTCGACTCCTCTGTCCATTCATCCCTCCTCTCATCCCTGCTCTCAGCCCCACTTCCATCCCTGCTCCCACACCCCTCACATTCCTGTTCCCATCTCCACTTCCACCTCTTCTCCCACCCCTGCTTCCATCCCTGCTCCTATCCCTGTTTCAATCCCCGCTCTCATCCCCTCTTCCATCCCTGCTCGAATCCTCACTCCCATCCCTGCTCTCAACCCCTCTATCTCTGATCCCGCTCCCCTCCCATTCCCACTCCAATCTCCACTCCAACTCCACTCTCATCTCTTCTCATCCCTGCTCCCATCCCCACTCCCATTCCCATCCCC